AAAAAAAAAAAACAGTTAAAAAACAAAACAAGCTAAGCATGCAGGTGCAAATTAAGTTTCTGAGTAGGGGAGGAGATCAAAGGTACCAACAGCCCTGCTCTTCCAATTCTGCAGCAACTGTCAAGAAGTGTGATTAAGTGAATATCCAAAGTAGGACTGGCCTTGCTAGCACTAGGTCTAAAGACAGTCTACTTCTCACTATTGACAGCATTCTAAGAAAGCTGAGATTTAGACACTGGGTGATTCACGCTATAACCCCAAGGGATACATCTGGGATAGGTCTGGGGAACAAGGGCTCTAGGATGGGGGAAGAAAATCCCATTTCTTGAGTTTAGGGGAGGTCCAAGAAAAAAAAAATCCAAAGATACAGGGAACCCACCTACCCATCACCATCCTCACACTCCACTCCTTATCCCAAAATACTATTACCACACTGTCTGAAACTCCACCTAGAAGCACAGAGGACTAACAACATAGTAGTCCTCAATACACACGCAAAAATAAAGCTACCCTACCAGAATGTACACCAGAATGCAGTGAAGGTAATCAAACTACAACATCTTGGAGACATGACTGGATTACAGTAAACCGCTGAAATCTGTTAATAGTAATAGTAGGGTCACTTCATGGTAGTTATAAAGACAGGTCAGTTTAGAATTTTGATTCTACTCACTCCCATCAGAATGGCTATAATTAACAAGACAAGAAACAAGTGTTGGAGAGGATATGGAGAGAAGGGAACCCTCATACACTGCTGGTGGGAGTGCAAACTGGTACAGCCACTAAGGAAAACAGTATGGAGATGCGTCAAAAAATTAAGAACAGAACTACCACATGATCCAGCTATTTCACTGCTAGGTACTCATCCAAAGGACATGAAAACATGAATGCATAAAGATACATGCACCCATATGTTCATCGCAGCATTATTCACGATAGCCAAGACTTGGAAGCAACCAAGGTGCCCATCAAGGGACAAATGGACAAAGAAGATGTGGTATATATACACAATGGGATACTATGCAGCCATAAGAAACAATGAAATCTGGCCATCTGCAACAACATGGATGGACCTTGAGGGTATTATGCTAAATGAAATATGTCAGAGGCAGAAAGTCAAATACCATATGATCTCACTGATAAGTAGAAGATAAAACCGAGAAACGAACACATAGAAACAGAGATTGGATTGGTGATCACCAGAGGGGAATGGGGGAGGCAGAAGGGCAAAAGGGATGATTAGGCACATGAGTGTGGTAATGGATTGTAAGTAGTCTTTGGGTGGTGAACATGTTGTAATCTACACAGAAATCGAAATATATAACGATGTACACCTGAAATTTATACAATGTTATAAACCAATATTACTGCAATAAAAAAATTAATTTTAAATAAAAGAATTTTGACTCTAGTACATGAGAAGAAAATGCTCTAGTCCATAACCATGAGTACCAGATCCATGAAGCCAATAGTCTTAAAATGGAGACAGACACATCACAATGTGTCATAGTCTGATGACATCTGTCATTAAGATAACTAATTCCCTTGGGCTCTGATTCTAAGCTTAAGAGAATTTCATTATAAATTGTCTTACCATGTATATCAATGCAATGTTTTCAACCTGTCCTCTCCAACATAACTAAACTCCCAACACTAACAGGGACACACTAGGGCAGTCATTTTTAACCAGGAGGCATCCTACATGTTTAAATTCCCAAGGGATCATTTGTTATTTTAAAAAGCATCCCAAATCCCTGAAATTCTTACGAGTTCTTACCACCGGGTGAGAATTATGGGCCTACATAGAAAAGGGAGTGACCTAATTCAGTGAATCTGATAGTTACATTTCTCCCTGCAAACTAAAATTCTTGGCATTTTGGTTTTTATACATTGGTTTCTGTGCCCTTGGTTAATGTGAGGTATAGTGAGAAGCAGAGACATTTAATGTGCCAATAGATCAGTTATATACATTTAATATGAATTAGAAGCTTATGATACTAAAACTAGAATGGACCTTAAACAGAGGTCACCTAATCCAATCTAGTCTAACATTCCCTCAATGAAAGAATCCCTTCTGTATTTCCGACACTGGTTTAATTTGCCTACTTTCTACGCAACACCTGAGAATCACTGCACTGATAGTTGACCCCAGAAATGACAGGGAAAAGAGGTATTTTTAGAACACAGGTCTCTCATTTCTAAAGGTAAGCAAACTTCAGCAGGGCACTTCAGTGAAAGAGGCCGCAAGACATACTTTGGGAAGTAAAAATTCAGGGTAGAGGAAGACAGAACCCAAAGGAAAATGGGCAAAAGGGCCTGAATAGGGACTTCACAAAAGAAATCCAAATGGCATACATATAAAATAAAGGACCGCAATCTCATTAGCAATCAGGCAAATACAAGTTAAAAACACAACAGATATTACACTCAAGAGAATGACAAAAATTAGGAAGCTGGACAATACTAAATATTGGCAAAGATATGGACTAATAACAGCTTGAGCACACTGTGGGGAATGTAAACTGGTAAAATCACTTTGGAAAACAGGCATCACACACATAACCCATCACCGAGTAATTTACTCCTTATTCCTAGAGAAACTCTTGCATGTGTGCAACAGGATTCATGTTAATAACACGGCTGTTTTTGGAGCAACTAAACTAGAAACCACTCAAAAATGGATCAAAGGTATAGAATGGACAAATAGTGATATATGAATACAACTGAATACTATACGTCAATGAAAATGAACAAGGAGTAGTTGCAAGTAACAGTATGGACAAATTTCATAAACTTATTAAGCAAAAGAAGCACGACAAAAAAGAATGAGAGCAGTTTATTTCATTTATACAACACTTAAAAACAGACAAAACTAAGGGATATATTCACGTATGGTCAAATTATTTTCAGAGAGTAGGAAAACTATTATCACAAGAGTTATTTTATGTGAGTGATTATCCCTAGCAGAGTTATTACCCTAAGGAAGGAGATATTGTGACCTGAGAAGGACAAACAGGGATTTCTGGAATGATAGTAATGTTCTATTTCTTGACCTGGATGCTGGTTACAAACATATTAGCCTTCAAATTGTTCTTCAAACTACATAGGTTTCATATACTTTTCTATAGTTACATCATATGTCAAAAAAAAATGTTGAAAGAAAGAAGCAAATAAATTTACCCACTTTAAAATTCTACTTAAGGTTAACTCTGCCTTTCTGCAAAGACTAGACTGAAATGTCAGTTTCTTAAGAAAATGGAGTCCATATGGAAAGGAAGACCCTTCAAGATTTAGTCCTGGATTATTCTAAGGATTGGGTTGTTCTGAGCTGGGCCCCAGACCTAAAGTTAACTATGCTTGGCAAAAGGTAAGTGAGAAAATATTTTTTGTTATTCAAAACCATATATCCTCAAAGCCTATAGAATATCTTGCTAGTGATTCCTCCTTGTATACACGATTTACATTTTAAATACTCAATTATTCCCAGATTTCTCAAACCAACAGCTAAACTTTAAAAAACAGACTTTTTTTTTTAATCCTGTCTTCCTCAGCTCCAAGCAAGTTTTTAGCACACAGTTCCATTTTTGAAGATTTCTGCTATACAGCTTTCAATTTCAATTCTCATTATCCCGGAAATTAAAATCTTAGCCATCAGATCTCTCTCCTTCATACACATACAGTAAAAAATTTCGCTATAAAAAAATGAAATTTAGGGGCCAGCCCGGTAGCACAACAGTTAAGTTCGCATGTTCCACTTCAGCAGCCCGAGGTTTGCCAGTTCGGATCCCAGGTGCAGACATATGCACTGCTTGTCAAGCCATGCCATGGCAGGTGTCCCCCATATAAAGTAGAGGAAGATGGGCACAGATGTCAGCTCTGGGCCAGTCTTCCTCAGCAAAAAAGAGGAGGGTTGGTGGCAGATGTTAGCTCAGGGCTAATCTTCCTCAAAAAACAAAAAAGAAAGAAAGAAAGAAATTTAACTGTTATTCCCTCTTTCTCATCTGTAAGGTAGGATGGAAAGTGCTGGGAAATTGAACCTTGTGTCCAGGGTGAAAGTCTGTCAAGTCTGAAAGTACAAAAAAATGAGAGACAGGGCAGGTCTAGTGGCACTGCAGTTAAGTTCGTGTGCACTGCTTTGGTGGCCCAGGGTTTGCCATTTCAGATCCCAGGTACGGACCTATGCACTACTTATCAAGCCATGCTGTGGCAGATGTCCCACATATAAAATAGAGGAAGAAGGGCACAGATGTTAGCTCAGGGCCAATCTTCATCAGCAAAAAGAGGACGATTGGCAGCAGATGTTAGCTCAGGACTAATCTTCCTCAAAAAAATAAATAAATAAATGAGAGATAAATGGTTCTCTCCAAGACAAAAGGCTTAAAGGTAAACTAATAAAAGTCAGTTATTGGGTAGTTTTTTTGTCTTTGTTTTTCAAGAAAATGTAAAAAGCCACTCAAGGAATTTAACTTGCCATTAGATTTTTTTTTAACTTTCTAATTAATTTTTTAAAACTTTAAAAGTTCTAGTTAGGGGGCCGGCCCAGTGGTGTAGCACTTAAGTTTGAACATTCCACTTCAGTGGCCCAGAGTTCGCCAGTTCGGATCCCGGGTGCAGACCTATGCACCAATTGGCAAGCCACGCTGTGGCAGGCATCCCACATATAAAGTAAAGGAAGATGGGCAAGGATGTTAACTCAGGGCCAGTCTTCCTCAGCAAAAAAGAGGAAGATTGGCAGCAGATGTTAGCTCAGAGCTAACCTTCCTCAAAAAAAAGAAAAGTTCTAGTTAGATGCAATGAAGTATATAAATCTTACATGCACAGCTCAATGAATGTTTATATATATACACATCCATGTTACTACTGCCCAGATGAAGATATAGATTTAAAGCTAGATTTGGAAGTTTTATTGGAAAACGAAAAAAAAACCCAAGAGATTAAATATTACTGCTCCTCTAAATCAAAAGATTTTCATTTTATTTAATTAAATTTTATTTTCATACCTCAAATTCATCTTGAGTACTTTGAACATTGCACCATCTGGTAACAGGCTCAGGAACCACTTCCCAATCCTCACAGACTTGTTTAAGAATATTCACAAAAGTTGACTTCCCTGCAGCTGTTATGAGAAGAAAAGTAAAACTGAGTAAAAGTTATTGGAAAAACATGCCAAAATAGTCATCACCTTTTACAAAGTTTGTAACAGCTAATAATACCCCAAAAAATCAATTTCCGAAACTTTCTCTTTAGATTTTTTTTTTCATGAAAACCAAAAGGGTCCCTGCCCACTTGTATTTAACACATTTGTTTCTTATTGTTTTTAGCTTACCAAAGCCATGAGACAGAAGAATTAAAAACCTGGTGACATTTTAGGCAAGGTGTTATGGCAGAAAAAAAATCCTACTCCTAGACTCACTTTCCTTAACCAAGCAATTAGGATAACTTTGTGAGAAGTGGTTAAGGCTATTCTCCCACTTAATTAGGTAGATGATCTTGGTCAAGTCACTGAACTTCTCTGAGCCTGTTTCCTCATAATGCAATGGAGATAATAAGAATACACTCCTCATGAAAACTGTTGTGATAAACAAACACTGTAGTGTTTTCCAGGCTCTTGCGTTTTCAAAATTTGCCTCTCTACTGGCTCTATTCTCTCAGTTTACAAACAAGCTCAGATCTTTCCTATCTAAAACCAATTTAAAAACCACCAAGTTGACTATAAAATATAAAGATGCATCCAATGCCTAGAGGTTTAGAATGGGAAAGATTACGATTATTATTATATGACACATTATCATATGGCACTATGACTGACAGAAATTATAAAAACATTTTTGCAAAACACTCCCTACAAGCAATAGCCATGTTTTCTCTGCTTCACTTTCATGGTTCTGTGTACTCTATCCAACCCTTAAAAAAAGTCATATGGGGACCAGCCCAGTGGCATAGTGGTTAAGTTCGTGTGCTCCACTTCAGCAGCCTGGGGTTCGCAGGTTTGGATCCCAGGCATGGACCTAGCACGGCTGTGTCAGCCTCCCACATAACATAGAGGAAGATTGGCATAGATGTTAGCTCAGCAACAATCTTCCTCAAGCACAAAGAGGAAGATCGGCAACGGATATTAGCTCAGGGCCAATCTTCCTCACACACACACAAGTCGTATGTACTTTACTTCTCCCTAATCATTCATTAGTTTCTGGGATATGGGTGGGGGGGGAGCAGGGGGTATAGTTCAGATGTAATCAGGACATATTATATCCACTATTTTAAAATTTCCCAGGAATACATTCCATTTAATATTAGGAACATCTTGACCCAGAATTTAACAGGGTGTAACAATACTCCTAATGACCACCACACCCTTCCTATCTGAAGTCACCAAATGTGGTCATATCAGACATCTCTTGTCAGCAGAATGTGTTCCCCTCTCTCTCTCGTCATATATATATATAAATACAAACACATACACACACATAAGTAAACATAGAAAAAAGCAACTTCAGTATGCTTACAAATGAAGCCTCTTCTTCCTTATAAATTAGATCCAAAGAGGGCAAGAAGAACTCACCTTTGACTTGAAGAACTCTATTCAAACCTAGGACATTATATAGGGCAACAGAAGAGAAGAAAAAACTGGAAGAACTTTAAAGGATCACACATAGAACAAAAAAAAAAAAACAGAGAGAGAGGTCAATAATAAGGTAACAGAGAGAACAGAGAACAGTTGAGAAGCAAGACATAAAAGTCATACCACCACGGGAGAAAAACTTTTAAGGATAAACCAGATGACCATTAGATTTAATCATGGGAAAAACACTGGTGATCACAGATTTTGTGTAGAGGGTAAGCACAGGGACTGTGAGGCATTTCGAAGAATAGCAAGAGGAAGCATATAAAATGATTACCAGACACTCACTGAGCCAGATGGAAGAAGAAAGGGAAAACGTGATGTTCACAACGGGCACCCAAGAAACACTTTAAAAACAGCTAGAATCTGCAACCACTTAAGGCTAGAGCATTCAGCTTTCTTCTAACACTGTGTATAAGCAGAAAAAGTTCATGTGGTCATACTCTGAAATGTTAAGAGTAGTGTCAGTTACTCTTTAAAATTATGCTTTAGTTCAAACAGAATAACAATAGTTACCTGTAGTCCCCAATCTAATATTCAGTTCCTTAACTTTTTGTGGGGAAGAAAATAAGCTAATTAACAAATTAATATTCTATGAAGGCAAAGAAGAACAAGAACCAAGGGCACTCATGTTAAAACTAAAAAGTCATGGGACCTAACAGAATCACTAATGCCAAAGCAAGCATTATGATGTCAAAAATCATTCTGTATGGACTACTAAGATGAAAAGATGCAAGTAAGGCCTCCATAAACCTAAGAGCGTATTTTAGTAGCAGAGAACATGAGAAGATGAGTTACATGAGTATAAAACTAAAATGACCAGGTAAAGTTTAAATTCTAGGAAGACCAGAGGAATCACAAAATAGTCTTCTACACACAGATCAGCAAAGTATACATTTATCACTTATTTGGGTCTGGCAAATAAGGTGGAGGGGACATGAACGGTGCAAGAGCAGTAATAAACAGCAAGTGACAAAGCCTCAATGTCAGGGAAGATAGTAAGTGGTAAGAAACAAACCCCATCTAAATAGCAAATTGTTGTCTTACAGAAATGCAGCCCAGGGTTACCAGATCTTTAGATTTGTCAAGAAAAGCCAAGAATCTAAATGTTTACAGGAAGCCTCAACATTTTTAAATGCTAGCAACCAATTAAAAATGTTTTTTCAAGTCTGTGCAGGACAATGTTGTGCAAATGCAGGCCATCAGCACACAACTCCTTCCAGTGTAGGTAACGGGAAGCCAGAGAAGAATTTTAAGCAGGGAGGGGATAACACAATTTCATTTGTATACAGAAAGACTGCTCTGGAAGTAGTCAGATACTGGAGATGGAGAGACACATTAGGAAATTATTTCAGGTACTGGGGCGATTAAAGATGCTTGGGGGGTAGTATATCTCTAGAAACAATAGATTGCTTAACTGGATTTAAGAAAGGGAAGGGGATTAATTCATTGTGGTACTGATCTGAGGGGTTGTTCATTCAAATTTACTTTTCAAATGGCTTTGTTCAACTACTTTCTCCTGTCTTCATATATGGTCTTTATCCAATAAGTAGTTGTGAGGAATCATATCCGTAAACATTCACCTTCAAAGACCTTACCCTGCTAAGAGGAAAGGAGAGTCTATTATGTGGATCTTTTCCACTGGTGACTTAACACTGGACCAATGAAACAAGACGACCTCTGTGTTCAGCTTTTTTCTGTTCCTTGGAATGCTGCTAGAGCATCTGCTTGCCTTGGCTTTTTAAAGAAATACAAGTGCTTTGAATGTGGTAAGAATAAAAAAAACATTTGCTGTATGCATGAATGGCCAGTACCCAACCTGAAGCCAAAACAATTCTATCAAACAGTTAGTGTCAGGCACAGGTTTCCTGTGGTAGGAAATACAGATGAACTAGAAGATCAGATGCATCTTGCAAAATGACATGCATGGTGTAGTATGCCCCCATCTGGGTTAAGAACAGAAACAGCTGTGGTCTTTGAATCATAACCCAATGTTTACTTGGAAATGAAATAGGGAATGAGGAACTCCACACTGTTAAGATCATTTAAAAACTCTTTACCCAAATGTTTACAGCAATTTTATTCATAATCGATAAAAACTGGAAACAATCCAAAAGTCCACAACTAGGGAAGAGATCGACTGTGGTAAATCCATGCAATGGAACACTACTCAGCAATAAAAAAGAACAAACTATGGATACAAGCAACATGAATAAATCTAAAATGTTAAAGCAGCAAGACACAAGAGGTTACATACTCTACGATTCCGTTTATACGACATTCTGGAAAAGGCAAAACTTACAGGGATAGAAACCAGATCGGTGGTCTCCAGGGGACAGGGAGAGGGGGCTGACTACAAAAGGGAAGGAGGGAATTTTTCGAGGTGATAGGAATGTTCTGAATCTAGATCGTGGTGGTAGTAAAACGGACATTATACGTTCGTCAAACCATATAGAAGAGCGCAACATAAAAGGGATCCTTTAACGTATGTAAATTACACCTCAGGAACTGACACACACCCCGCCTCAAAAAACAAAACAAACCAACCCAACCCTTCCCTTTGCACAATCCCAACAAAAAGGAGGCAGCAGCCACAGCGCCCAAGGCAGGCCCGCCGACTCGGCGAGCGGACGCCCAGGGGGGCCCACCCTCGGGCCCGGGAGGGCAGCAGGCACGGCAGGGAAGGATGCTCTCGCCGGCAAGGGAATCCGAGGCAGCGGCCGCACCACCAGGCTGGCAGAAAGCCCTCTCTGAGGAGCGGCTGAGATGCAGCGAAGGGGCGCGTCCTCCGCCGCCGCCCTGACTCCCCTGCTCTGGGGCCCACATTTCCTGGGGCTCCTTACCGATGTTCCCTTCGATGGAGACTTTCTTGATGCGGGTCCTCTGAGGGCCGGTCGTGGGAGACAAGCAGCTCTTCTTGGGTGGGGTGGCCATTCCTCGCGTGGGGCGCCCCAAGCGCGTCAAGCAGCGAGGGCTGGAAGGGGCCACAGGTGCGCGCTGGGGCTCGAGCCGCGGCAGAACCTGCCTGGACCCGCAGGCTAGACTCCCGCGCACCGCTCGCTTTCCCGCCGGCGGGTCGCGGGTTTGGTTTTGGCGTGAGGAGGCGGCGGGCGATGGGGGCGGGACTGCAGCTAGCCGCCCGCCCAGCGGGGAAGCCACGCCCCCTGCCCCCCAGCAGCCGGCGAGACCCGTTCGGGCCCCGGCGCCTTCGCCGGCTTCGGGCGGAGCCCTTGCGTGCGCGCCCGGCACGTCGGGATACGCGAGGGCAGGGGGCGGAGCCGCGCGGGCAGGGGCGGGGCCGCGCGCACCTCTGCCCGCGACTCGGGGGCGGGGGCCGTTCCAGAGACGTGGGGGAGCCCAGGGCTGGCGCCCGAGCGCGGAGGTCGCCGCCTGCCCTCGTCCCAAGGGGTGGGCCGGCCGGGCTTTGGAGAACCCGCTTCTCCAGCGGGACTCCTGGAGGTAAACAGAGCGTCTGGACAGAATTGGTTGGATTTAACATTTTGAACTTGTCAGGGGAGAAGCAATGTGTAGTAGAAAAATCAAACGGATTATCCTACCTTCTCAGCCTGGAGGATGACCGTCAGGCTAAGTGCCTCTGGGTAACCCAGGTCTCAGGAAATGTATTTTACTCTTACTGTGTGCCAGGCGCTGTTTCGATCACTTTTCATGAATTAACTAACAATCCACTGCTGAGATCCCACCATTGGCCCCATTTATCAGTGAGGAAACAAGCACAGTGAGGCTACTTGTTTAAAGTCTCGAAGCCAGTAAGTGCAATCGGGATGGGAATTTAGATAGGCGCCACCTCACGGGAAGCCATTCCTGATCTCTCATACCCCTCTCCATTTTATTTGGATGCCCGCTTACGCTGAAGGGGAGCAGAATACGCTCCCCCGCCCAAAATATGCCACTTTGGCATATTATTTTGAATTAAGTAGTTAAGAAACTGTGGTGCACGCTTTTTACACTGTACTGAAGAAACAGGACACTGACCCTTTGTCCCCGCTGAAAGGAGGAGATAAATCTCTGTGAAAGGTACCCTCCCTGTACCAAGAGCATAAAAGGCATCCTATCACCAGAGATAGGGAATTTAGGGCTGAGAAGGCTGTGAAAACAAGCCCTGTTACTTCTTCACCAATTCACAAACCCAAGCCTAAACCCCTTTGTCTTGTCAATTCTTCACAAATTTGTCTTTCTAAAAGGTATACAGTAAAAGCTTCCTGCTTTGGTCACTTCTTTGCGTCTCACATTTTTATGGGACTCCCATATATATGAAATTAAATTTGTTTGTGTCTGGGTACTCTGTTTTATGTCAATTTAATTATTAGAGCAGCCAAAGAACCTAGAAGGGAAGAAGAGGAAAATTTTCTGCCCCTACAATGTTATGTAGAAGTTACCACACTGTGTAGGTTTCTGTTCAGCAATGACTATAGCTTAATTAACTTTGTATGCACTACACCTGGCACACACTCTGCTAGAGTGCCATGTACTCTGCTAGAAGGCTCATCTAGCTAGGGACAAAGGCAGTGTAGAAATGCCCAGAGGAATTCTATTTTTTTTTTTTTGAGGAAGATTGGCCCTGAGCTAACTGCTGCCGATCCTCCGCTTTTTGCTGAGGAAGCCTGGCCCTGAGCTAACTGCTGCCGATCCTCCGCTTTTTGCTGAGGAAGCCTGGCCCTGAGCTAACATCTGTGCCCATCTTCCTCTACTTTATATGTGGGACGCCTACCACAGCATGGCGTGCCAAGCGGTGCCATCTCCGCACCCGGGATCTGAACCAGGGAACTCCAGGCTGCCGAAGCAATACGTGCAAATTTAACGGCTGTGCCACCGGGCCAGCCCCGGAATTCATTTTTAATCATGGTAAAGACCTAGTCAACCAGACATTACCCAGTCTATAAGTTCCCGAGTTCAAATTTTCTACAGAAACTGAAGGCCCTGCTATTCTTTTTTATCTTGCAACTGTCATCAGACCTGAAATGCATCTAAAGGTGGAGTCAGAAGAAGGGGTATAGTGAATCCACTGTCAGAAATAAAGGGCAGAAGTCAAAATGTGATTCCATGAGGAACTCTAGGATAAAAACAGCAAAAATCATTCTCTGTAAGTTTCTTATACTATTTTGTTATGCTGTTATTTTATGTATATTACTTTTGTTTATCCCTTGTGGAAATTAAAGAAACCTTAACTAAACTGGGAGTCAGGAAGGCCTCTAGGGGGAGCTCTGACTCCCTAACGTACATCAGCAATTACAACAAACGGGAAGAGACAGAGCTTGCGTCATAGACAAGTAAAACTACGACAGAAGGAAGATTTCTCTCCGGACAGGCAACAGCCCAGGCAATGAGAAGCCGTTGCCGCGCTGAACTGTTACTTCCCCTCAATGGACTTTAGTTTAGAACAGCCCCTCCCTACTCCCCTTTTCTCTATAAAGGCAGTTCCCCTTACTTGTTTGTTGTTTTTGCCTATGGTTTGCATATGGTCTAGACGTCCCAAACTGCAATTTTTTGGCAATTCCTGAATAAACTTGTTTTGAGGTTTTTCAAGTCAACACCCCATAGTGATTAGCAGCAGGATTTTTGAGATGAAAAAGGCCCAAATGCTTGTCATCAGGGATGGCAAGGAAGCTGGGGAAGCTACTAGGTGGTATATTCCACACCCAAGCTTAGAAAACCCGTGAAATGGCAAGGGTATTAGCAGCTACGGAGAGAGGAGTAAGGCAGGGTGAGTGTCTGAGCCCTTCAAACGGGAAGAAAGTGGAAATGAAGTCTCATATATATCTGATAAAGATGTTTGGGGTTAAGGAGTAGAAATCCCCAAGTGTGGTTTCCACGAACAAGCAAAAACAAAAACCACAAGAGAAGTAGTATGGTGGAATAATTAAGAGTTTAAGCACTGGAAAATTAAAGACTGGTTTCAAATCCCAGCTCTGCCCTTTTCTGGCTGTGAGAACTTGAATTCCTCCAAGCTTAGGAGTGTACCTCAAAAATGCAAACGAAGTAAATGGGGGAAACAAGGAATCTAGCTCTCTTGACATCAAGTTAGCATAATTTCCTATTTTCCTACATATCTGTGGATAACACAAGGAAGATATCAGTAAAACCTCTTTTAAAAGCACCACCTCCCTGATTTTCATCCACAATCCCTTATCTGAAACCCTTGTAGCCAGATCTGTTTCAGAATTCAAAAATTTTTGGATTTTATGGGGGCCAGCCCGGTGACAGTGGTTAAGTTCTCACTCTCTGCTTCGGCACCCTGGGATTTGCAAGTTCGGATCCCAGGCATGGAGCCACAGACCCCTCATCGAGCCATGCTGTGGCAGCATCCGACATATAAAAAATAGAGGAAGACTGGCATAGATGTTAGCTCAGGGACAATCTTCCTCAAGCAAAAAGAGGAAGATTGTCAACAGATGTTAGCTTAGGGCCAATCTTCCTCACCAAAAAAAAAAAAATTTTTTAGAAAATACACACATATACTATATATTACATAACTATCCCTCACCCTCCTGCAGAGTGTTAAATCAAATGCACTAATATTTTGCCGTGAAACCTAAGAGTTTTCACATTAAGTGAGACAAAGACTATTAACCTCAGTTCAGGTTAAGTTTGCACTGAATTCAAGAAAACACTTGCAGTTTTCCAAGCTTTTCAGATTTTAGAATTGCAGATAAAAGACAAGTACTGGAGCACCCAGCCAGTCATGAACATGCTACCATCTTAACCCTTCCTTGCCAGAAATTTTACTACGCCTTTAATTTGCAAATTCCTTGTCTCCTGTGGGAATGCTGGTGTAACTCAAGAAAGAGAGAGGGTCCTAACTGATAACTTACAAGTTTATTAAGAAAACTCTAAACCAACTCAGAAAATAAGAACAAAGGCAGAAAAAATAAGAGGCCCGAACATTGATAAGCAATGGTTACACAGCCCATGCATATGTGTACACCAACCCAACAACTTCTGTAAAAGGATATTTATCAACTTAATATGCTTGGTTATAAATTTCTCCTTGAAATCTTCATTACTGCTGAGAAAACAGGACACAGAAGCCATCATAAAAGCAAGAATTAGGAGTCAAGGTGCTTCCAGCAAATGTGAAGTGTGATAGCAAAATAACATACTAGAAGGGTGTGGGAGCAAGCCATCAGCCTTATGTAGCTCCTTAGCAAAGGAAGCTATATTTTGCTGCATGCTTGTAAAGGTTAACTTAGGTCATCAAGAAAATGTGACACTGTACTCACTATGCTGTTGAAAACATGAGTGTAAAACGTCTATTAAACATGGTTGTTTAAGCCTTAAAGGAATGTTTAGAAGCTTTGTGTTATCAAAATGCACCATTCCAGACAATATTATATAATGAAGAATTAACTATTTAAATTTAGTACAATAGAGGCAAAGAACCTAATTTATCAAAATACAGTTAATTTTTATATGGTATGTATTTCTTTATACAGGATAGATGCTTTGTACATACTGTTATGTGCAGAATAACAAGGTGTTTTTATTAAAGCATGCAGACACAATCCACGTCAGCATGGACCAGCATTTCTACTCCTTGTCTTTTCCTCAAATACCAATTAGTGACACTGGGCAACTGTGGCTACTATCATGAAAATATTTTCAACCTGATGGTCCAAATACAAATGCCTCTAAACATAAATACATCTAAATAATGATACTCTGAGAATGCGCTAAAATACACTTTTCCTTTAGGAACTTGGGTATCAGGGTGACAATGAAGATTCCTGAATACTGTTTAATAATATTCTTTAATGGTCTATAATGAAGACAAAATGTTAGATAAAATCTTAGCTTGATGGAAAGGACAACAAATAATTATTTTGCTAATTGCTCTCATGGTAATAGTATATTTAAAGAAAACAATCAAAAGCATTGGCTTCAAGGCCAAGCACATTTGGTTTTTTTTTTTTTTTTTTTAAAGATTTTATTTTTTTCCTTTTTCTCCCTAAAGCCCCCTGGTACATAGTTGTATATTCTTCAGTGTGGGTTCTTCTAGTTGTGGTATGTGGGACGCCGCCTCAGCGTGGCCCGATGAGCAGCGCCATGTCTGCGCCCAGGATTCGAAACAACGCAACACTGGGCCGCTTGCAGCGGAGCGTGCGAACTTAACCACTGTGCCACGGGGCCAGCCCCACACATTTGGGTTTTTAAACCCTAATCCTAATCAGTGACTTATACAATTTCTCAGCTTTAGTTTTCTAGTATGTAAGACACTGAGATACTAACTTCCAGGGTTACTGTGAACACTATAAAAAATAATGCCTAACAAAGTTTAAATGTTCAACATATTCCATATACATTCAATGTCTTTAGGAATGTGTTCAATGTGGAAATACTTATAGTAAAAATAAACAGTAACGCAAAATCAGGATTCATGGCCAAACATAACTATTTATTAATTTTTTAATAAACATTCAGTTTCTTGCTTTAAAAAAACCCTAGACTTTAAATATTTCCCATCCCATCACATACAAGTCTGTATACATTATTTACATCTCTCAATTAAAACATATTACAGATTTTCTGACATTCAGTTTAAAATAAAAAGCAGTTAAACTTTGATCAATAATAACTATAACTTGAGTAATCTTGGCACAGTTTACAACATAGCGCCCACACTGCATTTCATGTTTTAGACCATTTTACCCTTCTAACTACTCTACGATAGAGAGAAACTGCCTATCTCCGTGAGAACAGGATCCCTGTCTATGCGTGCTCTGCAAAACTTGCCCAGTGTGAACGCTGCCCCTATGCTTCCAATATATGGCACTGGCAGTATTCTTTTGCTTTTGTCCTCAGAAATGATTTCTATTCAAACTTTAAGTGTTCTCATGTTTATTGTATTCTCTCCCAACCTAGATTTTATGATGCCGTTCCTAGATAATTTTAAGTAACAATGTATAGGAAAAGTTCAAACAGAACAAAAGTTATGTGTTCCCCACAAGATTAGTGCCCTTACCACACGAGTTATGCATGTACAAAAATAACAAATACAATTTAGTGGCTGTAAAAAACTATTTCCCCTAAAAATAGTTATCTATGCAGAACAATTTAAGGAGAAAAAGTGTTCTTAAAATGAAAATGCACTAATTTACAACCTGCACAATTAAGTATTTCAGAAACAAAAAAAAATGAAAACGTGCAAACCTGTAAGAAACATTCACATATAAGAATTTAATAATATATAAGAGAAATTAAATATTAACAAAAATTTAAATTTATATCACTAATAATCTCAGCTTCAGTGACATAATTTAAAGAAAGCTATCAACCAAAATAAACCAAAAATGCTTATGTAAATTGCATCTTTCAACATTTCAGCTGAAACGTATGTATTAACAGCAAGTACTCCAGAATCACTAACAATAAGAAACTGCAAAATCACCTTTGTTTTCCAAGTGTATATTGGGGGTTGGGGGTGGGGATATAGGAAATCAATAGCAGTAAGGAAGTAATTTACCACCAAGGAGGAGATGACAGGTAAACATATAGTTAGAAAAGGCCAATGATTTCACTACCTATCTTTGAGAACTGTAATCCAAGATTTTCTATTGTATAATATGCAGAAAAAGAAACAGCATACTTGCAAAACTGAAAGTACTCCATATTTTAATCCGTATTTTTCTCTCTCTCGTCAAAATTTAAGTATCAGTTCAACTACAAGTGGCAGACATGGAGCACAGTTTAATACCTTCGAAATGAATTCTTCTCTATGATTAGCTTATTAGGAAAGCCTTAAAAATTCAAACTGTCTTTAGTCAGAATTGTTATTATATCTTAAAATTAAACTTTTTCACTAAATCTTGAGATAGCTTTACCTCTAAACGTTTATCTCATACACCACTAAACTGATAGCTGAACAACAGTAATTCCAATGGTGAATCTTAACATTATGACAAAACTCAGATATTTAAATTATTTTAGGAGTGGTCCCTAAAGTAAAGATCTAGAATAGTGTTTCTAAGAATTGGTATATTCTTTCAAAACCCAGATAAGTTTCAAAATAAGTTAAGTTTTCCTCTCAGTATATGCGGTCACATTTTCAAATTACAAATACATTTCTGGTCCCATATCTTTTAAAAAGATGTTCAAAATTTTAAAGTTACAAACAATATATAAAATGATTATACAATTTTTAAATACTTGATCTGTAATATGTAGGCTTAAAACTCAGCATAATTTATATATAAAATTTATTCCAATTTCTTTGTACAATGATCTCCAGTCTTTAAATTCAAATTGTTCGTTTGAGCAAAAATATGTTTTAAAGAAAGGATGGAGGTAAAAGCTATTGTTCCCTTAAGCTACTTCTATCTTAAATATTGGATCTATTTTTTCTTACTATCCCTTCAATCAAAACTATCCTACAGCAGGCAAGATAGAATTCAAAAATTATCAGGGAAAGGAACAGAAAATAGAAAACAAGAGAAAGACATTGATTTTTTCTATTATCATATTTAACTGCAAGGTAATTAAACTAAATTTAAAAAAGTAAAATATAACCTATTCATCCAAATGATACTGTCCTCTTCAAAGCAGTGACCTTGGGAAACCATTCCGATGCTCAAAACATTCTCCTCTGCAAATTCAGAGCCTGTGGCAGGAAGTTCTTTTGAACTTCCCTAATGGTTTAGTTCTAAGAAAGCAGCAAAGTAGAGTTGGTTTTGTGAATGAGATAGGTCATATTAAGCTGTCAAGCACGTTTTTGGTGCAACTAAAATAGATTTTCTTGCATAATCATAATCCAATTCTCAAGGCATCTCTCAAAGCATCTCCAAAACATTACACCTTTGCAGCACAGCTGGAATAAGGAGTGCTTCCAAAGGAACCACTCTAAAGATCAACTCTCATTTGGATATTTAAGGTATGACATTTATTTTAAAAGAAAGTCCTACAACTTAATAATTGTATCTCACATATTTTACCATTTCAGTGGTTATCAAAACCTCTCTCAGAGAGGGTGTAGACAAAGGTATAAAGGAAATCTGTCATTATGCTATTTTCCCATAAGCAAGGAAAATGCTAGTACATAAATGGAGTCTAGTGATTATATGTAAAATATAAATATCCACATCATCTGTATTTCCTGAAAATAAGAGATTGTAGTGCTTTATCTTTCCTGATAAGCCAGGCAGTAACTCAGTCTGAGATATATTATACACTGACCATGTCTTCTCCTCCCTACTGCATTTTACGCTTTACTATTCAGAATGTTACAAATGACAAACAAAGGTAGAGAAAGAGCACAACCTAAAATCTTTCAATTGGAGGTAAACGCACCTCCAAAGCCTCTCCCACTAACTAATGCATGCTCACTGTTTCAGTGCAGTCTAACGCCATGGTTTTTATGGGAAACAGAATCATAAGCCAGCAAATGCAAGCCAGTAGCACCATCTACCGCTAACTACAAGATTTTCACTCTTTGTTATTAATTTCTCTGTACCACCATTACTCCATCATTTAAAATAATTCCTAAAACTTGCTTCATATCAACATTTAACCAAAGCATTGTGCCAATAATACTATGTTAACCTACTACTTTATATTTTATGCTTTTATCAGCAGATGAGAAAACCACCTTCTGCTTTATATCTCTGTGTAAAGAGCAGGAGGGAAATCATTATCTTGATCATTTACAAATTGAAAGAATTGGAACAATTCCAATAGACGTTTATAAGCAAACTCTGCTGCAAAACCAAGATTTGATCCTTATTTTATAAAGGGCATCTTACTAATGCTCATGGGAACCAAACAAATCAAAGCCACTTTTTCTCAAATCAGTTATTTCTCACTTGCTTTGGTGAGTCTCTCCTTACTTGTAGCCATGTAACATCATGTACAACGCCAGGCCTCTCCCTGGGAGAACTTCTCCACTTTGTTACCATATATATACACACACATATCTCCTTACTTCCCAATACCTCTGTTTAAAGGAATACTCAGAAGCAGGCACCTGAGATTCTGGCACAGTGACAACAAACTCCTATCTACATACAGTGGGAAAGTAGGTCCTACTACTAAACAATAATTTATAGAAACATTTTCCTATTTTTTACAGTGTACTACTGTATAAGGCTTAAAAGAGCAAGAAAATTTTTCACTATTCTCTCTACACTTGGCTATTGAAACCCCTTTGTTACTAGGTTGATACGAAGTTAAATGCAGTACGGAAGACTACTGAGTAATCACGTGGTTCATTTTGCTAAACAGGACCCCAAATCACTTGATAGAAAATTTTATTTGCGAATCAACCTATAGTTGCTGATGTTACCTATTTGGATACTAAAAGATTTATTCTAAGGAAATCAGCTAGTTCTCACTGCAGTTTAGAAATAAGCATTACCAATGAATCTCCAATATATTTGCCTCTGCCAGGCTCTCCTGTTACTGCCACTGTTGGTACTTGCGGAATGACTATTAGAAATGAAGTGGAGAAAAAGGGAGCTCCTAGTGATCATAATTATAATGGCAATAAATTATATTACTGCTTTACTTGTTAATGGCAAAAACAAACTGATTTCATTTTAGATTCTTTTCTACTGTTTTTAGTCTATACAATTTCAGAGCAAGATTTCTATTCTACAAGAAAAACGGTATATACTTCTAACCGAAGGAAGAGTATATATTTCTAACTGAAGGAAACATACTTATCAGAAATGACAATTAAAACTGGAAGTCTGAAAAGGATATTTCTCAAGAATAAAACTAAAGTGAAAAGGTAATATTTATTTTAAAAACTAAGTTTCCAAACTTCTTACTTATGGGGATAATTCACTAGAAAGTCATGGCAAATAAAATGTAAAAGTTAATTACTGAATTAGCACTTTCATTGTTTAATATCACTGCAAAAAAAAATTCCTTTCATAGTGGAAAAATCAGAAGGCAGAATGCTTCAAATTGAGACAATAATAAGCAAAGAAGGTACTGTATCATTTTAAAATGACAGGCAAACACCAGCTCCATTCATTGAATGGAAATGCTGGAAAGTGATTAATTTCCTCAAACAGTCCTTAAATTCCATGTTTAATGTCTATACCTAAAATTAATAATTTATCTTTAACTTCTCATGGAAGTGGATTCCTAAAAGGAAGTCTCTAAGACTTTGTTTACAAGAAACTGATTAAAATCTCCATGCCATTCTATTCACGGGTTTTAAGACAGGACTTTCTTGACTCCCCGTACTTAACCCCATCCCTAACTCCCCATACAAATTAACCTCCACAAACAAACACACACTCCTATCCCCTCCTCTTCAAAGTGGAAGGGGATGCTGCAGACTTATGGCTCATTTGGCAATTGCTAAGAAATCTCACAGTTCAGCATCACCTCTGAAGATGGCAAACCTACATATAACCTGAATTTTTATACCCACAGTGCAGTTAACATGTAGAAAGAAGCCGAAATCCAATAGGTATTTACATTTCAACATCCTGAAGTTTCAATATCACAGATATCAAGAGATGGACAAAGACCTGCTTGTAGAACTTTAGGTATTTGAACAGAATTACCATCAATATCAAAAATAATTAAGAAATACTAATTTTGTATGTTCTACATGCACACCTTTACAAATTGTGTTTTTCAATGTAGTAAAAGCTGGAAATCACCAATTTAAGTAAACTATGGCTTTTATCATAGGTATTTTAAAACATGCATCAGTAAGTGCCCTGGATAGTGATCCTAATATTGTTTCAAGTCCTGTTCAGTTCCATGTCTGTGCTTTGCACCTCAGAAGTGAGCCTGCCAAGGCACTTAAAAACATAAGTCTTTTGGGGACTTCAAAAATCGGCCAGAATTTACACAACACACAACCCCCATCCATCAGCAGTCCAATCAATAAGCATTTTCTTTCAACACACAGTATCATCAAAAATGTCACAAGTAACCAAAACCAGGTTAAAAAAAAAACTTTATGCCACTAAAACAAAATTTACCCCATCAAATGTATAGAGAGTGGTTCTTGGCTTCCTCTAGCAATAGAATATGAATATGGTTTCATTTATTCAGAATAAAGAAAAAGGAACCCAAACAAGCCCCCCAAACCTAAGACAAAAACAACCGAGATAAAATAAAATACAACGAAATCCAAATACACTCCTCAGTTTCATTTGAGGAACAATTCACACAGCTCTGCATCCTTTTATCTGTCCTTTGAGGTGAGTTTTTCAATCAGTTCTTGGAGTGGTGCAAGTTCTCTTCTATCAATAAGGTTGAATTCCTAAGCATGATAAAGAAAGGTAGAAGAAATTATAGAAACGTATTATTTACATCTAATTCCAAAGCAGATTTTCATTAACATTTGTTGGAAATTAGCTTTAAAGTAAATAAAAGTGAAATTTTTTTTCAAAAAGTTTATTCTATTCCCTAGCTCTGTGTCTTATGAAATCACTTAACTATTTCTCATATTGTTACATTTTACATCTGTCATAATATTAGCATAAATCCCCCTACCTCATAAAATTATTGTGGGGACTAAATGTGTACCGTATGTTAACCATTTCGAGTAACCCCTGGCACAAAGTAAACACTCAATAAATGGGAATTGCTGTTTCCTATTAAAACGAATAACTCGGGCACCATTTAGATATAGTCAACCAAGTAAGGACCAAAAAGATGCACCTCAGGCAAATTTCAGCATTATATGAAGAGTAAAAGAGTTAGTTTAGGGATCTGCATAGGCATGTGCTTGGCCCTGTGGATTCCTCACCCTCTGAGGGAATACAGCTGGAGAAAGGCCAGAGCAGGATTCTCTAAATTGTGAGGCCCAGGGCGCAGGCCCCTCTTAACTCAGTCACAGAGTGATAATGTATACTAATGGACCTACCTTTAAGAAAGTCACTGTCCTGAGGTGTAAACAGGCTCAGATGTGGTGAATGCCATTTATCGATCCCCAACTATCTGCTAGGAGTTGGGAGACACAGTGTACTTTAAGGTCATACAGTAGGGTAAAATTAACCCTTCTGGTGAGAGAACATCCTGTCCTAAACCACTAAAACTGAACTTCAGTAATCATGTTCTGCCTGAACCAAAGCACAGATGCACACTTTAGGATAATGTTTTCTTTGTTTCTACAGGTGTCTGTAGATGAGATACCACAGTAAAGTAACTGCTCAGAGTGACAGTTGTGGCAAGTTAAGATCTCCTAAAATGTGTTTATATAGGTGAAATTAAGACACAAAATGTGTGCCTTCAGTATGAAGACTGTGTATAGAGGGAACACAGATACATTTTTCTTTAGTGGAGATGGGGTGTGGAGAAGGCGTTTATAAGTACACGCCCACAGAAATACAAAAGGAACAAAGATTCAAGCCTTGGACTTCTGCCTACTATCACCCCTCTCAACTTCCACCAAAAAAAAAGGTGGTCAGCTTATCCACTTCCACCTCTTTGTCACTCCTGCCTGATAGTTCTGTAATTGTTATAGCAGGGTGGGAATAGCCTCGCCCCTCTTAGTCTACACCTCTAAGGCCAGTTCTCTGAGAACTCAAGAGAGAAGGAAGAGGAGGTCAACTAAGGAGTCAGATCAAAGTCTAACGGACCTCTGGAAGAGCAACATTCTTTGGGACATTTTTCCCTTTTGAACATAATGGATAGTACCTAACTTAAAAATCATTCAGAATATGGTTTAAAAGAGGGGGAAAAAAAGGTGTGATATTCAAAACCCATTTCCACGCCAGAGTATGCCAAAAAGAATCCAGGGTAGACAGGAATTGAAGATTAACAGGAGTAGGAAGAGTGCTAAAATGCTCAAGAGACCAAGTTCATCTGTAGGTCTGCCAAACCAGCCAGGTTCCCTATTCAGTCCCTCCATTATGGCCTGTTAAATGAAGCAAATCCAAGGCAAATCCTCTCAGATCCATTTTAGATTTGCACGCCACCACCTTGGAGATGAATGAAATTCAATAACAAAAGGCCTGTCATTATCATCATGGCAAGTATAGAAAAGGATAAAGACCAGAGAGATATGGCAAATTTTATCCTTATGTTATGAATGCAGTATTCAGCTGAGAACTCTTTCTTTTACTGAGCAAAAAAAGCCTCATAATCCATCTTACCTGGACAAAAAAAATAAAGTGCTTGAAAGACGTATTGAGATGAGCTTCCTCCTGAAGCTGGATCACAGGGTCGAAATGCTGATGGTAAATATGAGCATAAACCCTAAAGAGGCGTTTGAGTATAGTTTTTGCCACCGACATGAAATTCTTCGGGAATGGGACACCTAGTAAATAGATAAACAGTCCCTCTATTAACAAGAGACGAGGACAAAGCAATATGAGTTTGTCAGCAAATGACAACATAAATTACCAAGACAAGACTGAAAAGAAATATTTACGAATTACTACTTAATATACCCACTGTAGTTTTCAGAAGTTCTCAACATATCATGAACGAAAATAAACTTCAAAGCATCTATGGAATAAGAATTAGTCTTTAGAATAGCCCTTTACGCCTCTAATATAGCACCACTTTACTAAAATGAAAGAAAGAAATGCCTAAGATGGTAATAGAGCTAAAACTCACACTCAGATCTTCAGATTTCTTAATATCAAGTCTCAATACAAATATTTGCTGAACACAAATAACATAGTAACCATGTCCAGTTTTGTTTAAAATGCGTGCAATATGTTTTTATATTTCTTTCTACGGAAATTATTTCATTACTACTTCAGGTCTACATTTATCCTGAAATTATCAGTGGTCCTGCTCAACTAGGCTCATTCTTTTATGAATTTAAACACTGTTACAGCATAAAGCAAATACAAAACTAGAAAAATATAAAATTCAATATCCTCTGTTACCCCAGCTAAATGATCCAGATTGGCAAAACACAAGCCAAATACTGGTATTACTGGGTTCAATGTCATCACATTGCCCACTGCTCATTTAAAAATCTTATAGGTCACAAGAAAACATAAGACAAACCACACTACATAAAATAGTATGCCTACACACTGCAAAAATAGCAGTGTCATGAAAACCCAGAAAAGACTTAAGTATACACATTCCACATTAAAGGAGGCTAAAGAGACATGACAACTGAATGAAAACAAATGTCAAAGATTTTCTTTTGCTATAAAGGATATTACTGGGAAAATGTGAAAAATCTGAATAAAATCTGTAAATTATACAATAGTATTATATCGGGGTTAATTTCCTGATATTGATGGTTATACTGTGATTTTCTACAGAAATACACATTGAAGAACATATGAATAAAGGTGCATCATATCTGCAACTTACTCTCAAACAGTCCAGGAAAAAGAAAGGGACGTGGGGAGGAGAGAGAGAAAGCAAATGGGGAAAAAATGTTGGCAACTAAAGAATCTAGAAGAAGGATACTCAGGGATTCTTGGCACGATTCTAGCAAATTTTCTAAAAGTCTGAAATTGGGCCAAAATAAAAAGTTAAAAAATATATTATGGGAGATAAAAGATAAGGTGAGGGCACTTATCCATGTAATACAGTTTTGAAAAACAAACCTCTTATTATAAAGGCTCCAAAGTAATTAAAGCATCAAATAAATGTGCTTAAAACAATCCATAATAACAGCAACTATTTACATTGCTGTCTCCCCCAACTACACCCTTCTTGCAAAAACTAAAAGCATAAAATACAGTCCAAAAGTTGTTTATTGTTAGAAGAGACAATTCTTAATTTTTTCAGAAAACACAGCTGTTAAGTTCGAGAAGGTAAAATCATAATGAACTGTCTAGATGTGAACAATTTCCACATGAAAGGTCAGCCCTTAAGAGCAAATATAAAAAGCTGATAACAGGCCAACTCCTCAAACCTTCTTCTTTTCTCCTCACCTAGGCTGATTTCAGTCTGTAAGATTCGCACTGTGGGTCATCACTTCAAACTCCCTCTTTGCCACAAACAGAATGTAAAACTGGATATAACTCATATAAACTCCTTCCCTAAACAAGAAATGGATGACTACTGGCAGATGATATTGGCTGCCTACCCAATATACAATCTTTGTTTTTCCATAACAGGCCAGATTTTGATCTTCTCATTGTTTAAAATTATAGCGAGGTTTACCTTAATGTTTATGATAAACTTGGTATGAAAAAGGACACTTTTAAACATGTAAGACTAGAAATATTTTGATAGGTATAGTAAATCCAATATGGTTCCTGGAATAGAGTCAATAAGCTCTAGAAACATATAAAATTAGATAAATCATGATAGATCCCAAGTATACAAAACAATTATACCAATTTTTGACGGAAATAACGTCTCATCATCCAACTGATCCTGAACCCAAGTCATCAGGTAATCAATATACTTTGGTGCAGAGCACTTAATAGGCTTCTTTATGTTTGTTCCATCTGCCCAATGATACTCATATCTGCATTGGAAAGATAAAAAGCACACAGAATGTCAGTATATCTACATACATAGTGTGTATATTTTTATATTATATATGTATGTCTGTTATGAATGTATACAGGACATATTTTAAACAATGTGCTCCTCCAAATAAAGACTTTTCACATTTGGCATTTCAATTCAGCGTTTTTATATTGCTACTGGACAATTTTGTATTTATCACAATCCAAACTAAGCAGATCCCATAAAATTTTTGAGCTTTCCTTCACATATAGCATTTACATTTTAGAATAATACATTACCATTGTAGAAAATCTCGCTTATTTCCCACTTCTATGATGACCATCTTTAATCTTTACAGTTGTTTTTCTTCCTTGAAAAACATTTCTCCTTAGGCAATACAATTCTTTTTAACTTAGGGCTTTAAATTTTGGGTTAAAGATCGAGAATGACAAAGGGAGCTCCAAAGTAAGACGAATGAAGAAGAGAATGATTTAATATTTGAGTACATTTGGTTGAGGAGCTAAACATGCCTTTAAAGAAAATTGGCAATCCAAATAAAGATGCCTATAGGATTTGGGTATTAATAGAACATTATCCTTTGGCATAATAAACATTTTATTTGTACGTAACATGTGAGAAATACTGTGTCAAGGAATATTGTTCTTGAACAAGGATCACCAAAATGAAAGATATTTTCCCTGTTCTCAAAGAGAACAGACTAGTAGAGAAGACAGACTTGTAAATAAGTAAGCAAAACAGTACAACTATACTAATGGAGTTACTTACACACACATACACACTCACACACAACCACAACCTGAATTTTAGGATAAAGAATAAGCATACAGCTGAAACTTCAAAGTATAAAGATCTCTAAACTAAACTAGCACTTAGTTTTTTGGTTTCTAAAAGTTTACGTCTTTTTTTTTTTTAAAGATTGGCACCTGAGCTAACCACTGTTGCCAATCTTTTTTTTTTCCTACTTTATCTCCCCAAATCCCACCTAGTACATAGTTGTGTATCTTAGTTGCAGGTCCTTCTAGTTGTGGCATGTGGGATGCCACCTCAATATGGCCTGACAAGTGGTGCCATGTCCACGCCCAGGATCCGAACCAGCAAGACCCTGGGCCGCCACAGTGGAGCATGTGAACTTAACCACTCGGCCACGGGGCCAGCCCCCCTAAAAGGTTACTTCTGCCATTTAGCTTCTCTCTTTGAATCAGATGTGTTTTTCCAACCTTGTTCCAGAGTTTGGACTGACAGAATGATAGGTCGGTGAGCCTAGCAAAGGAGATGAGAGAAAATATAATGGAAAAACCCTACAGATTATTTTAAATGATGAAATTATCTTGAGATAGGATAAATAAGGACGCTATTTAATCAGAGCTACTTACACCTGAACAATAAAAAAACCTAAACAGTATACACCTGAATAGACATTCTGCCAGCATACCTTACTGCCAACCCCAGGCAAGAGGAGTGGCTGTCAACTACTTGGAAGCCTACTTGGAAGGTCTCCAAGAGAAGATTCTCCCACACTTCTTGGCATTCTATTCCACTGTTTAATCACTTTCACAGTCAAGAGATTCTTCCTAATATAAAACTAAAGTCCTGAGTGAGACTTAAGCCTATTATTATTTGATCCTTAGGAGGAAGAGACCATGAATGGTAGGACTTTTAACCATCATCACTCTTTACTTCAAGACAGAGACTCATCCATGTTTTCTCCATTATGTTAAGAAACCTTAACATTTTTGCGTTTCCCTCACAATCATGTTTTTCATTTTCTTAATGATTCTCAGTGTTCCATATCATTTTTAAATGCAAAAATCAAAAGCAGACACAGTAAACCATAAATCATTTTCAATATCCTGAAGCTTTTAAAAAAATACCAACTTTCCATAACCTAAGGCTTTTTGAAAAATCAAAAAATCTATATATTGCTTATACTTCTAGAATTTATAACTATGATTCTGATTCTTTCGTCATGTTTATACTTAAGATCACTTTACCTTGTAACTCTATTTTGCCCCATTCATTTTTTTATTTCACCTTGGCAGACCATTCTCTTTAAAATTTACTTCTGTCATCATAATATGAACTTAAAAATTGCAAACTCCAAAATACTCACCATTTCTTGGTTAATAATAATAAGGAACAGTGAATAAGAACAAAATCCTATGAACCATCACTCAATACCACTTTGCAAGGGGTCAGTGCTAAGCTATTAAAAAATGCCTCTCCTCGGTACAGTCCTGAGCATCTGCTGGTAAAGATGGCAAATCATGATGACAACTGCATCTTCTCAGCACTAATGATGGCAAAAGTTAAGATTCTCCAAAAAGAGGAAGAAAGGGAGGGTCGGTGAAAGGAAAGGTGGACAGAGGGAAGGGAAGGAAGGAGAAGGGAGCAAAGACAAAAAGGAAGTTGAGAGGATGGAAGGAAGGGTAGAAGGAAGGAAGAAAAGGAGGGAAAAGAAGATCATTTTCCATTTTTGTAGTATCTTTACAGAGATCCTGTGTCTCTTACTTTTGCAGAATTAGGTACATTCTTCCTATACCAGGTATTTAGATAAGATTTCTGTGGGGAAAGTGATCAGAGCAGTATTCTAAGTGGTAGTAATTCTCCCTGGTTCACAGGAACAAGATATTGGTGTATTATCAGAAAATCTCCCAATAAAATACTAATGAAGTACAAACAGGAAAAATGACAAATGTGAGGTAAAGAAATCTTGTAAACAGTAACAGGATAAGGCAATCAGGATGAAAATCACTAGTGATGGATGGTCATCAGTGCATGTCTCCTGATATGATCCACTAAGAAAAAAGTATCATTCCTGCCCAGAATGCATGGCCTGAATGTGGTCATAAGGAAACAGCAGACAGAATGTGTCAGGCCCCCTAAGATGACCCCCAGGTTTGATGATTTGCTAAGAGGACTTACAGAACTGAGCATATAGTTGTACTCACAGCTATGATTTATTACAGTGAAAGAACACAAACCAAAATTGGCAAATGGGGCCAAGTCTAGAGGAAACCAGGCACACGCTTCCAAGAGTCCTCTCCCAGTGGCATCACATCAGATATGCTTAATCCCCCCAAGACTGAGTTGTGATAACACGGCTTAAACACTGTCTCTCAGGGAAGCTCATCAGAGACTCAGTGTCCAGGTTTTTTACTGGGAGATGGTCAAGTAGGCAACTTCTGCATGCACATACTAAAATTCCAGACTCCCAGAAGGAAAGCATAAGCAGTATCATTTGTAGAAACAGTTTAGGCACAGTAAGCCACTCTTAACAGGTAGGGTAGTGGGAACCCTTCTAAAATCCAAGTTCCCAGATGACATCCAAGGGCCAACCTTGCAAGCAGACTTTTCAAGAGATGGCAGTCAGGCCAGCTACGTCAACTCTTTCCTGCACAAAGGCCAAAACAACAAGGAAAGACTGAAGAACTATTCCAGACTGAAGATACCTGAAGAGGTAAGTCAAACAAATGCAATATATAATCCTAGATAGGATCCTGGACCAAAAAGAAAAAACTGAGATATTGTTGATGCAGCTGATGAAATATGAATGGTGTCTATGGACTGGAAGCAGTGATTTGAAGGGTCTGTATGCTGGTTATGTAAAAGTGTATCCTTCTTCTTGGAAAATACACAGTGTGTCATATTTGAATATGTAGGGATAAAGGAGCATAATGTCTACAACTTGCTCAAAAGGTTCACAAAAAATTAACATTAATGAGTATACATAGAGAGAGAGAGAGTGGGTAATAAAGCATTTATGCAGTAAAATATTAATAATTGGGGAATCTGGATGAAAAGGATATGGAAGTTCTTTGTGCTGTTCTGGCAACCTTTCTGTACCCTTAAAATTATCTGAAGTTTTGAAATTTGAAATAGTTTGAAAATAAGTTCTTTTCAGTATATTTGAAAATAAGCTCTTCTCAAAAAATTACCTTAAGAAATATTCAAAGCATATTATTTTGAACATCTTTGATGATGGCAAATTGTCAATTCTTTTTAAAAGGACTCGATTCTGAGAAATATCTAAGCTCATTTGCAGTCAATGTGAGGAACAAGGTAGACAACTCCAATTAGGTAATACTTCGTTCAATATGTGAATTTGGTCAAAAAATAAAGTATGACAATGAAGTAATTTAACTGAATCTTTTGGGTAGCTAGTGATCTGACTCTACATTGCAATTTAAAAGTCATCAAAAATATTCTGAGCAATGAAAGCATTAGTACAATAAATGAACAGCAATCTAAAGTCACTACTTACAATGATAACATTCCTAAGCATGAGTAAGTTTGGGCAATTTGTTTTGTTTTGATATTTACACCTTGTATATCATTGGGGGGAGAACATACTTTATAAAAAGTCGACACTAAAAATAAAATTTCTCTCTATTTCTCTCTACAAGTATCAATTAACATTTCTTATAAGAAAATAATACAATGTAGCAATTTAAGAGTACAGGCAATAGAATCAGAGAGACCTGAATTTCAACCCTAGTTCTGCCTGTTTCTAAATAAAAGGAACTTGGACATGTTACTTAACCTTTCTCAGACTCTTTCTTTTCCTATAAAATGAGGATAACAATAGTTTTCTCACCTCCTAAGGTTGCTGTATGAACGAAAAAACATGATGCGTGAAAGGCCTTACATTAGGTAGCACAAAGTAAATGCTCGCTGCCATTGTTATTATCAGCCATGGTAATAACAAAATCCAATTTCAAAAATTCATCGATCCAGGGGCTGGCCCCGTGGCCGAGTGGTTAAGTTCACATGCTCCGCTGCAGGCGGCCCAGTGTTTCATTGGTTCGAATCCTGGGCGCGGACATGGCACTGCTCATCAAACCACGCTGAGGCAGCGTCCCACATGCCACAACTAGAAGGACCCGCAAAGAAGAATATACAGCTATGTACCGGGGGGCTTTGGGGAGAAAAAGGGAAAAAATAAAATCTTTAAAAAAAAAAAATTTATTGATCCAAGCAACATTTATGGAGTGCTACCTAGGCGGCAGGCACTGTTCTTGCACCAAAAGGGATTTCAAAGAAGAACAAATTGAACAGATTAAATAAAACATGTTTAAGTATAAGGTACAAGTATAACGTAACACAGAAACATAATCATACAGATAAAAAAGTTAAATAGAAAGACCCCATCTAGTCTGAAGAAATCAGAAGGTCTCATGCAGAAGGAGGCATTTGATGTGGGCCTTTAAGATGGGTAAGATTTTTTGAAATATTAGCAGAATGATGATAAGAAGGACATGGGAAAAGAAGAAAAATATCCAAGAGAAGAACAGAATGAGTAAGTTTTCAGAGTATAAGTAATGGAGTTTTCACAAAAGCAAGGCATTTGCAATAATGTCGTTTGGACAGACCGTAAGCCAACAGAGGAAAGACATGATGGAGGACAATACAGGGAGGGCCATAAAGCTCAGGCTAAAGAATCTGGACTTAATATACTAGTCATTGGTGAGCCACTGAAGGAGAGGCTAGGTAGAGAAATTATATGGTCAGAAACTTTCTTCTTATTTAAGAACTATAAAATAAAGTAAAAATGAGAACCATGAACCATATCTTACTTTGGGCCAGCTGACATCACCGGACAACTTTCCTCTGTACAGAAATCTGTGATTGTTCCGTAAAGCATGTTGATCTGATTGAAGAAATCCACAGCTGCAAAGCAAATATCACTTAGAAGTAAAAAACTAAATTTTAATTTTACTCAAGCAGAATCTTAGATTTATCTGTTCTTTCTTCTGCAAAGAACAGGTGAAAAGCATACACAGAAATCACAATATTTGGATACACTGAAATTAGGAGCTTCTGTTTATTAAGTGACTCCTTTAAGAGAGTAAAAAGGCAAGCACAAAGTAGGAGAAATTATTTGCAACACATATAACCAACAACAATCTTGTATTCAGAATATACAAAGATCTCCTCTAGATCATTAAAAAAAAGACAACAGAGTAGAAAAATGTGAGACAGTTTTGAACTGGCTCTTCACAAAATAAGTTTCCATAAGGTCAAAAGCATATGAAAAGATGTTGGCAATCATGGAATTGCAAATTCAAATGATAGTGGGATGCCATTCCATAGCCATCAAAAAGCTAACTTTTATTTGAAAATGCAAAGAGCTACAAATATCCAACACATTCTTAAAGAAGAACATGGTGCATATCAAAAATTATAAAGCACGACTACAACACTGTGGACTTAGTGGACCAATGGAATGGAATAGAGATCAGAAATAGATGTAAGCATAGAAGAAATGCTTGATTTATGACAAAGCCGACACTGTAGAACAACAGGCCAAAGACAGTCTTCTCATAAACAGCTCTGACTCTGTCGGTTATCTTTATGGAAAATAAAACTCTTGACTCTTCACTTACATCATGCCCAAAAAGCAACTCCAAGTGGATCATACCTCTAAATGTGAAAAGCAAGACAATAAAGTTTAAAAGGGCATAGAAAAATATATCCATGACCTTTGGCATGGATATATTTCTTAAGAAGGGAACAAAAAACACTAATCATAAAGGAATGGTTTTCCATGTTTTCACTGGATTTATTCCTAGGTTTTTGATATTTTTTACGCTATTCATAATTTTTTATATTGACCTCAGTGCTAACAACCTTTTTATATTCACCTATTGGTAATAATAACCACAGTAGTAATAACAATCATGGCTTTTCAGTTTTTCAACATTCATTCATATTGGCTATGAATGACAATGTTCTTTCTTCCTTTCCATTCACTGTATCTTTTATTCTTTTTCCTGCCTTACTACATTGGCTAAGACTCCAGTAAAGTGGTGATGGTGGGTATCCTTAACTCATTCCTAATCTGAGAAAAAACTTCAACATTTCACTATTAAATATGATGTTTGCTGTAGCTTTTTTTGCAAATAGATATGCTTTATCAGAAGAAGGTTCTCAACTATTACTTGACAAGTTTTTTATGAATTAATTTTTATCAAATTTTTTTCTGCAGATATTGAGATGATCATAGGATTGTTTCCTCCTCCTTTATTTTGGTTAACGTGGTGAATTAGGACTGATTTTCAAATGTCAAGCCAACCTTGGCTTATAAATATCAAAAACCTGGAATAAGCTCAATTTGGTAATGATGTGCTATACTTTTTAAGTATTGCTAGATTCAATTTGCTAATATTTTATTAAGATTGTTACATTTATGTTCATAAGTTAGATAACCTAGTTTCCTTTCTTTTAATGTCCATGAAGAGCTCACAAAACTAGTATTTTCTCCATTCTGTATAAGAGCTTGAAAAAAGACTGGTATTTCTTCCTTAAATGTTTGGTGGAAATTTCTACTGTGGGTAAATTTTTAATTAGATTAAAATTTTTAAAGATAGTTATAAGACGAACAGACATTTCTCCAAAAAGATATACAGATGGCCAATAGGCACATGAAAAGATGCTCATCATCGCTAATCATCAGGGAAATGCAAATCAAAACTACACTAAGATATCACGTTACACCCATTAGAATGACAAAAATATCTAAAACTAATAGTAACAAATGTTGGAGAGGTTGTGGAGAAAAAGGAACCCTCATACACTGCTGGTGGGAATGCAAACTGGTGCAGCCATTATGAAAAACAGTATGGAGATTCCTCAAAAAATTAAAAATAGAACTACCATACGATCCAGCCATTCCACTACTAGGTATATATCCAAAGAGCTTGAAGTCAGCAATTCCAAAAGTCCTATGCACCCCAACGTTCATTGCAGCATTATTTACAATAGCCAAGACATGGAAGCAACCTAAATGCCCATCAACAGATGAATGGATAAAGAAGATGTATATATATGGTATATATATATATACCATTGTATATACATTGTTTGTTCTGCAAAACAGAACAAAATCATTCCATTTGCAATAACATGGATGGACCTTGAGGGAATTATGTTAAGTGAAATAAGCCAGCTAGAGAAGGATAATCTGTGTATGACTCCACTCATATGAGGAATTTAAAAATGTGGACTAAGAGAACAGATTAGTGGATACCAGGGGAAAGGTGGGGTGGGGGGTGGGCACAAAGGGTGAAGAGGTGCACCTACAACACGAATGACAAACATTAATGTACAACTGAAATTTCACAAGATTGTAACCTATCATTAACTCAATAAAAAAATTTAAAAATTAAAAAAAGATAGTTATAAGACTATTCAGACTTTTTTATTCTTGTGTCAACTTTACTAAGCTGAATTTTTCAACAAATTTGTCCATTTGGATTAAATTTTCAAATTTACTGGCATAAATTTGAAGCCTGTTCATAATATTCTCTCATGACATTTAATACTGTGTAAGATGTGTAGTGATAATTACTTTTTCATTCCTGATATTGGTTATTTGTCCTTTCTCTCATTTTTTTCTTGATCAGTCTTACCAGGAGTTATCAAATTTTATTAGACTTCTCAAAGAATTAATTTTCTTTTCGGCTTTGTTGATTTTCTTTACTGTATGTTTGTTTTTCTTTTTTTGAGGTTGATTAGCCCTGAGCTAACATCCACTGCCAATCCTGCTCTTTTTGCTGAGGAAGACTGGCCCTGAGCTAACATCCGTGCCCATGTTCCTCTACTTTATATGTGGGATGTCTGCCACAGCATGGCTTGACAAGTGGTGTGCAGGTCCGCACTCAGGATCCAAACAGGAGAACCCTAGGCCGCCAAAGTAGAACACGCAAACTTAACCACTGTGCCACCAGGCTGGCCGCTGTTTGTTTTTTATTTTATTAACTTCTGCTCTTATCTTTACCAAAACCCTTTTTTTTTTTTTTTAAGAAAGGCTAGCTTTTTTTTTTTTCCTTTTTCTCCCCAAAGCCCCCTGGTACATAGTTGCATATTCTTCATTGTGGGTCCTTCTAGTTGTGGCATGTGGGACGCTGCCTCAGCGTGGTTTGATGAGCAGTGCCATCTCTGCGCCCAGGATTCAAACCAACGAAACACTGGGCCACCTGCAGCAGAGCATGGGAACCTAACCACTTGGCCACGGGGCCAGCCCCTACCAAAACCTTTTTAAATTTTCCTTGTATTTAATTTGCTATTGTTTTTCTAAACTCTGGAAATTATGCTTAGATCATTAATTTTTAAAACTTTTTCTTTTCATATGTATGTATGTAAGGCTCTAAATTTCTAACACAGCTTCAGTTACATCCCATAAGTTTTCATATGTAGTATTTTCCTCCTCATATTTCAGTTCAAAATATTTTCCAATTTCCATCGAGATTTATTCTTTCCAAACACACGCAAATTTCCTAGTTTTTGGTTACTGATTTCTAGCTAAACACTAGTTAAATACTATGGCCACTATGGTCAAACAACGTATGTTATATGATTTCAATCCTTTCAACTTTTGAAAATATGCATGTGTATAATCTGAGGTGCTTAAGTCATAAGTCCCTCAGGTCAAGTGTTAACCATGTTGCTCAAAGTTTTCTAATTCCATATTGATTTTTTCCTCTATACTTTCTATCCATTACCAAAAGAGGAGTGTTTAAATCTCCCATTATGACTGTGGATTTGTCTATTTCTTCTTTTAGTTCAGTCAACTGATTTTTATGTATTTTTGAGATGTTATTAAGGACACAAATCCAGAACTTCATATATTCTTTGTGAACTGAACAATTTACCATTTTAAAATCTCCCTCTTTAAACATTTTTCTGCCTTGAAGTCTACTTTATCTGATATTAACATGACTATATCAGCTTTTTTTAGGTTACTGTTTAACTTTTTAGTTTCAACTTCTATCTGTATATTTTAAAGTATGTCTCTTGGAAACAGAATTTAGGTTTGTTTTATGATCATCTTGACACATCTGTGGCCTTTTTATTGAGGTATTTTGTCCTTTACATTTAATACAATTAATTTGGATTTCAATTTACTATCTTACTATTAGCTATTTCTTTAGCCTACCTATTATAATTCTTTTTCTTTTCTTTCTGATGTTATTTAGGATTATTTTTTATTATTCTATTTTTTTCCTCTTTTAGCTGGCTAATTATACATTCATTTACTCTTATTTTAGTCCTACCCTAGAGCAGGGGTCAGCAAACTATGACCACAGGCCAAATCTGGCACATCTCCTGTTTTTGTAAATAGTTTTATTGGAATATAACCATGCCCATTCGGTTACATACAGTCTATGACGGCTTTTGCACAATAGCGGCAGAGGCGAATTGTTGCAACAGAATCCATATGACCAGCAAAGCCTAAAAAAATGTTTACTATCTGGCCCTTGACAAAAAAAAGTTTGTTAACCCTTGTCCTAGAGTATAGTATAAGCATTCCTGATTTAACAAAGACCCAAACAAAATTTAGTATTTTTTACCTCTTTCCAGGTAATACATGACCCTTAAGAATAAGAAACTGACTCAATCCCAAGTCTTCATTGAGTTTATGGGCTAATTATGGAAAATATCATTTGAGTTTTTCATAAAGGGAAGTACAAGTTGTGGAAGCAAATAGCTTCCCTCAGTTTGCCCTTTCTTTTGATATAAAGCAAACAGTCAATAAGAACTTGGTATAAATTGACTCAAGGAAACCACAGGGAGTGTTCCAATAACCACTGATATCTATCTAGCCAGACTCTAATATCCTTTTGCCTATATTCTCCTGGGCAAAAATACACCTTTTTAAGTTTCTCAGGCAGAAAGGGAGCATTTAACCACGTATTTAAGGACAAATACCACATATGGAGACTTTGAGCTCAGTCCCTGTTTCCTCTTATTTACACAGTCCTAAGATCTCTTTTCATCTTAATTACCCATGACCAGCACTTTGCTTTTTAAATTCAGACTTTCTCAAGCAGCAAAGAAAAAAACTGACTTTAAAAGTAATCAGAGCTAATTTTGCTCATGAAAGTAGAGTAGTAACAAGCATTATATTAAATTTAATCCTGCAAGTTTTCCCCTGTCCTCTGACTTCTCAGTAAGCCAAAATTTACTAAGTAATGACTCTGCAACTTAATAATTCTTAAGTTGTCCTCCACATAAACGGAGGACAACTTGTGGCTTTGAAATAAGACATACAGGTTTGAATCCCAACTCTTATACTTAACCAGCTGAGTTACTTAACCTCCCTGAACCTCAGTTTCCTACCTTTAAAACTGGGTTCACTTTGGAGTGCCAAAAAATGTGTCTACCATAAAACAGGCATTTAGTAAATGCTAGTTTCCTTCCACTAACAAAGACATGGCCTCAGGATTCTGTGCCACATAAATCATTTATAAGCCATCCGTCCAGCTTTTTCCAGAACCCTGAACCTTCCTTATATCTTCTTTAAGCTATCACTATTTCTAGCAGCACAATGTTCAAAACTAGGCTTTGGTTTTTAGCTGTGAGACTGGTTGTTGAATTTGTAAAGATTTCCCATCTTCTACCATTTATCTTTTATCTGGCAAGTGAACTGAAGCCAAAAGGCCATTAAAAGATGCCAGTCTTATCAACAAATTCCCTTCACTCTTTTATGTACCAGAAATGTTTACTTAACCACTGTCAGTGAGTTGAAATATCTGTCTAGTCAGATTCCTTCACTTCATCAAGTGCCATTTGGGAGATTACTACAAATAAGGAACATTTTAGAATCCAATAACTCAGTCAAATGGCATATTTTTCAAGGAAGAATTATATGTTCTAAGAGGATGTTCTAATGTTTCCATTCAAAGTAATTTTTGCTCAGCCACAACTGTGAAATGCCTGTGAAATTTTAGAAGTTCCTAAAGTTGTAGGCATTTCAGTAGTACAGGCACTCAGTTCTGGCAACTGAGACACAGAGAATACAGACGGAAAACGATGATCTGCGTTTACACTGAACAGTCGGAATCTCAGGCCTACAGAAGGTCTGTGGGGCCTGCCTTAGATCTTTAAACTAGCAAATGAGTTCTCAAATAGATGGCACAAAACAGCACAAACACGTACCCAAAAAAAGAATGTACAACTATATTGGAAATTTATTCTGAATATTGTCTTTGAAGTGTCACAGAACCATCTTATAGGTAAGATGGTAAGATCTTATCAAAACAAAGAAATTACTTCGTTTCTTTAGTAATTAAACTCTCTTGGTCCAGGAGGATAACCACATTATAATAAATACTGCTCTTATGCAAATGCTGTCACAAGAAGGTTTTAAGACATCTCAGTAAAATCCTTAAGGTTCCTAAAAGTTATCAGTAGATGAGAGCTCAATTTATAAATCCCATGATATATTTCAAATTACAATAAAATACCATCAAATATTATAAGAAAAATACTGCTTTGTCTTTCCTTAGTCAAAGCCTAGATATTTAGTGTATACTTTCAATTAAATTTCATTTTATTTAATTCATTTTCATATAAATTTCCTCCAATTTTATAAAATTCTATCAATTTCTTCACTAATGCTGAAAAACTCTGAATATTAAAAGTACCACTTTTATTCCCCAAATTTCTCTGGCTAATTCCCAAGAACATACTTACTTTTTACTTATTATGTTTTTCTTCCTAGCAGTTAAGAATATCTCATAAATGTATTTTACCTATTTCATAAGATCATTATTGAATTCTTTTTTTTAAAAAAAAAGCGTAATTTAGACAAATAACTGACTATGCTACTGAAAGACGCAATTTAACACGGTGGTTAAAGCAGTTTCAGACAATCTATAGCTATATATTTGAGCCCACACTCTGCCATTTAATAGCTGTATGACCTAGGCAAATTACTAATCTTTCTGTCTCTGCTTCCTTCTCCATATTAAACTGGGATAATAACAGTACCTATCTCATGAGGCTGTAAAGATGAAATAAAATAATCCATGTAGAAAGGACAGCAGACTGCCAGACACATAATTAGTGTTCTATAAATATTAATTGCTGTTATTATCATTTTTTCCATTGAAGATAAGTCTATGCTTTGTATTACATTATAACAGGAGACAAGAATTTCTTAAAGCTCCATATTCACAAATAAAATAACACACAGGCTAAAGTGGATTGAGGTATCACTATATGTTACTATTAGGTTGCTAACTAGATCCTAGAACAGAGAGCACCCTCTACAATGAGGCTACTAACCTAACAGATTCTACTGAGAAAAGAAAGTCTACTTACTGTTCACTGCAACCCATTCATTTAGATCTTCCCCCTCAGGAAGCATGACAGCCATCCGGAGGTTGCCACTGCCAAGTGTGGCTTCTGCATGCTTTAAGAGCTCATACTGGTGTGAACCCTCTGGAATGTTCTTCTTTGGTTTAAATGTTTTAGAGGAGCGACTACCACTATGAATAGAAAAAAAAAGGCAATACAATATTTAAGGCATGACTTTCCACAGCCTACTAGACTGTATTACTTGATAAAATAACACAGAGGTGGATCCCAAATGTCCACAAATGAACAGCCCTAAACTGTGCTGGCTACATTAAATCCCAGATATAACTGCTGTAACTACTGTGTTTGATACCCAGAACTTCTACAAACCTTCTCTACGTTCCCTACTGCAGCTCCCGAGAGGAAAAGAATTTTCAGCTGTAACTAATCCAGTTTTTCACAATAAATTAACGATTCAGGATTATAGGTTGTAATCTATAAAAACATACAAGTTCTCCTGTGGTAATTTTTAGTAATTTTATTCGTTTTCACACCTATTCTAAGTTTCTCATCCTAAAATAGATCATTTGTTTCCTTCGTATAAAAAACATAAAGGTACAATTTTATATTAATAAAACACAAAAATCCCAGAGTGAGAGAAAGAAAAGCTACATGTTCTTCCACCCAATTATAGGAAGCATAAGCAATCTTAATCCAGAATTCCAGGTATGCATACAAGTAGCTAGACATGCATATGGCTGGTTTGCTGAAATTTCTGAATGTGTGTAAATACATACTTACACATACACATAATATTTTTTAAATGGATCAAATGAAACTAGTCTTAGAAATGGTTTTGAGAGTTTTTAAGAGATGGATTCTTCTGTTAATGCTGTCAAATTCTTATCAAATTATATTATATCCTAGTCATCCCTTCTCCATACTCTCTTCTCTTCATATGGAAAGGAATAGATAGGAAAGAATGAATTAGAAGAGGCTGTTAAGTGGGAACTCCACAAAGTTTGATGTTACTAAATTCATACCACCAAAGCATTCAGACATTTGAACATATGAATATGAAAGCAGAATTCAAAAAAGAACAGATAAACAATAGTTATAATTTCCAAGCTCTCCATAGCTTTTCACTCATTACCCACTTCTCCCAAGCTTACCCCAAGAGACCTTCCCTTTTCCCCAAGATAAAGCAGGAGTTCTCAACCCAGGCTGCATATTATAATCACCTGAGGAGCTTTCAAAACATATTGAGAATCCTGAGACAAAATAAGAATCTACCAGTTATCCAAAACATCCAACTCAAATCACAGGTATTTTCACTCTAAGGTAGTGGCATTCTTATTTAAAATGTCAGTCTTTCGAACTCTATATGACTCCACTCATAGGTGGAAGTTAGTATATTGATAAGGAGATCTGATTGGTGGTTACCAGGGAAAAGGGGGGGTGGGGGGAGGGCACAAAGGGGGAAGTGGTGTACCCACAACATGACTAACAAAAATGTACAACTGAAATCTCACAAGGTTGTTATCTATCATAACATTAATAAAAAAAAAAAAGAATTCTAAGTCATCAGGTAAAAAATAAATAAATAAATAAAATGTCAGTCTTTACTCAAGTGTTTAGAGTAAACTGATGCTCCTCAACTCTAATACTGGCCCCTTTCCCCACAGATATCTCTATATCTTGTCAACAGACAAGGTATCTTTTTAAAAACACTCATCTGATGATGTTACTTCTCTGCTTAAAACCAATCAGTGGCTTTCCAGTGCACTCAGTAAATCCAAAAGTCAAACATCAGACACAGTCAGGCTCTGGACCCACACTACAGCGTGGAAACTCTGTAAGCTTCTTCAGTTTAATCAGGTAATGCGTTAAGCAACAAATTCTCTCCCAGCATCTCCAAAGTAGAAAAACATAGACAAGATCATTATGCCTACTGAGCTTGAGGCTTATTTTCTTGCTTCTTCTCACCTTTTGTTTATTAAAATTTAGCGTGAGAAACAAACTTCACCGACATTTTTTACAAAAAGACATTTATTAATTTACATATGATTAATTACAAAAATTGCTCTCCTGTGACTAAGCCGGTGCACATCTTCAGGCAGAGTGTAAGTTAAGTACACTCCCTTTAATTAGCCCACTGCTCAGACTGAAGCAGCAATTGAGGACGTGACAAGCTGCTCTGAAAGGTCTGGCAGAGGACATGAGAACTACAAGGACATCAGCTGTGCCTGCCTCAGGAAAGGAGAGCCTCACCTGCCCCCCAAAACCATCACTGATTGAACCACTCTGCCAAGAAGTTTTAGGCTTCCAAAAGTTTTCTTGATCGATGCCCATCCCAGAATTGGTCCTCCAGAAAGTTAAGTAATCTACCTCATAAAAGACTTTATACTTGGGTAGAAACGAAAAAAAGAATAGGAGTTCGATTTGTGAAAGCCAGCTTTGACACTTATCAGCTATGTTACCTCAGGCAAACTACCCAAACTTTCTTGAGCCAATTTTTTCTTTAGCAGTGAAAGTCTAATAAAAATAACAAAACATTACTACTACCTATATCACAGAACAGCTGCAAAATGAGAAAATAACCCATGTGAAAAAAGCTTTTAAAACTGCAGAATGCTGTGCAAATGTTAGTATTTTCATTATCCTTTCTTTTCTGAACTAGATAGGTAAAAAAAGAAATGGTAATGCAATGTCCAAAGTTAGACTCAACCCCCATTCCCACCCTCATCTCCTAAGACTGGATGGGGAGAAATATAACCTTACTTTGGAAACAAATGCCCTTACACATGCAGTGCAAAACAGAATTTTAAAAAATTTTTGTTTTTGTTTTTTGGTGCTATTCCCATATCCAGGTCCAGGTGACCTCAGAATAATCATGGGCTAGATTGGAAATCAAGAAAACAAGGTTCTATTCCTCATTTTGCTATTTTCTTCTTATATTACTTAGGAAAACACAAATTACCATCTGGGCTTCTATTTCTTTATTTTGTTTTTTGAAAGTCTGGAAAATAACTTTTTACAAAAGGGTATAATTTAGAGATGAGATAATGTTTAAAAAATGCTTTCAGTTCCCTGTAGACTGTCGACTCCCTTCTCTGTTCCTCATTTCCATGTACATTCATACCTCCAAAATGCTTTCGGGGCCGGCCTGGTGGCCCAGGGGTTAAGTGCACATGTTCCGCTTCTCGGCGGCCCGTGGTTCGCCGGTTTGGATCCCGGGTGCGGACACGGCACTGCTTGGCAAAAGCCATGCTGTGGTAGGTGTCCTAAGTATAAAGTAGAGGAAGATGGGCATGGATATTGGCTCATGGCCAGTCTTCCTCAGCAAAAAGAGGAGGATTGGCAGTAGTTAGCTCAGGGCTAATCTTCCTCAAAAGAAAAAAATGCTTTCAAGTCCTCCATCTAATTTCCCTTCTCTCTGACCCTTCACAGGGCAGAGTAACTCAGGCAGAATAATTTAACCATTTCAATACTCTATATTTTTTAATATTCTATTTCAAAACTATATTCAGCTTTTTCTTCAACTAATACCTGAAACTTCTCCTACCAGTATCCACCCTACCCTGGAAGAGGTGGTCAATACTGGTCCTCATTCCCAAGTCAAAAGACGGACTGACAGAGTCCTCAAGTTCAAAAGCACAAATAACAAAGCATGTGCACAAAAGTCCTCATCAATGGCTACAAGCTCATATAGTAACAATGTATGCCCAAATGCATATATCTCACATGGCATTCTAAGACATTTGAAGCAAATATTCAAAAACATTTTCAATAGCAGAAGGTATGTTGTTTTCCCACCCCACCCTCCTCAGAAGAAATCTGTGTATCAGAAGAATCTCACAAGAATTATCTTGTGATACTTCCCAAGAGTCTATGTCTATATAAGCATAAGAATGCTTGTGCCTGGTTTTGTTCATTTTTACACAATTGCTGCATACTACAGTATACTAATTAATGTTTTTCACTTAATATACCCAGGAGATTGTATATTAAGGTAGAAGAAGACCTACTTTATTCTTTTTAAAGACTGAACAGTATTTCCTCATATAGATATATATTTCAATCAGTCACCTACTGATAAACATTTAGGTTGTTTCCAGTCATTTGTTACTGGAAACAAGGCTGCCGTAAATATCCTCATGCATATGCACATATGAAGGATAAACTCCTAGAAGTAAAACTGCTGTGCTAAAGGGCATGTACATTTTAAAATTTTATTGACGGCCTATTTTTCCCCCAAATAAGTTGTACCCTTTTACAATCCCATTAACGATGTATGAGAGTAGCTACACCACTTTTGGTCCTAGAGGACAGGGATTCGATTGCTAATTTCTCTTGTACAGCTCCCAACACAGCGTCATAACTAATGAGAATCTAGAGCTTACTGATTAGAATGTGAATGATACATTACATATAAAGGGTGCTGTACTGATGATTCAGAGCATTACCCTGAGGTCTTTTCTTTCCAAATCAACATCCAGGATTCAAGTTTGTTTTCTCCAGCCCTCTTACTCATCTTTGAAGGCCAATCAATTTCTAGAGCAAGAAGGGATGGTTTGACAAGTAAGTAACTGAGTCCTAAGGGAAAATTCTGACTACACATCCCTTATAATTAGTTATCCAATTTGATCTACCTTTGGTAAATTCCAACAGCACCACTTATCTCCTCTTTGAGACTCTAAAGAATAGATTAGGCCCCAGTGTCACCTAGGTTAATTCCTGTAAATTGTTTCCTACCACCTCAACACTGTCACATCCATCGTTACCCGTAATTTTAACACTTTATTGTTCAATCCAACTATCAACAAAGTTGATATTTTCTAAGTTGAACTGGAGAATCTTAAGGCTGAAGAAATTGGTGGGAGAGGATTTATAGAGAACTCAAAACAGGGGCACCAAGTGGTAAGGGTTAGAAGAATAGATATGTGTATTTTTTGACACTGAAGAACATGTCAATACATGCAAACTTAAAAGCAAATTAACATCAATTTATTTGAGTCAATAACTCCATTCCTTAAAAGTTAAGTGACTTACTCTGACCATACAGCCAGTTAAATGACAGAAGCGGGACGCAACAACAGGCCACTATCTTGAACAAGTTACTTAAGATTACCAAGCCTCAGCTTCTTCACCCATAAAATGTGAATAATAATACTTACTTTACTATTGAACC